TATATACATATATATACATATATATACATATATATATATATATATATATATATATATATATATATATATATATATATATATATGTATATATATATCATATCATATATATGGTCATAGCATTAAAATCTCCCATGCATAGTGTGCCGTGATTCTGTAAGCTGGGCAGTGAATCTGTTTGGAACTTTCAACTCAGTGCGGATACATTTTACAGAGAGAAAAACCCAGAGCCTGTTCGAATATGTAAATATGAATTCTGCACCAGCTTATGCGGGATGGTGTCAATGACATAAGTCAATACGCCTGTTATTCCTGTGACTGTTTCTTGGGATGGGGAATCCCTCTGGCAGTTGCGGGAATTCTTGTGGATTGGGGGCGTTACGTGGCACTGGGTGGGGTGTAATGGGGCTGGGCATCGCTTCTCTGCGGTCGATGGGTACGGTATGTAAGCGTAGGGCAGTTACGGTGCCAGGCCGCCACACCTAACGCACTTCTTCACAATGGTGACGGTGTCTTCGTTGTCGTTGTCCTTTTCGTTCTTTCTTGCTGGCTAGTCCTTTGCATGGCGGACTTCTGCACAGACAGCACAAGCTGTTTTTTCTGCAATATTTAGCTACGTGGTTGTAACCCTGGCACGTGTAGAAGGCCACAACCACGGTCGAATGGAGCTCGGCTCTATGTATCTTCCAAAGAATTGGTACTCTTTAGGTGGCGGCAGTTCCATACAATGATAATCCTATATAAGGGCTGTCCATCCTTGTAAATCCTCCGAGCTTTAAAAACACCCGGCAATGGCAGTGTTTCCTCTGCGGTGGCCTCCTTCGGAAACCCGGTAACCAGGTATTCCCGGTATATTTTGGTTTTAGGCTGACAGTCATCTTTGTTCTGGAGAGAAATCCCCGCGAAATTGCCATCAACCATCAGGGCCACGTAATTGTGTTGCTTCCGTCATACGTATACGTAACGAGAGGATGTCCACATCCCCTGCACCGTGTCTAACGGGCCTTCCTCTTGGAGGGGCGGCAGGTGGCTGACCTCATCCACCTGATTTTATCGACGGTAGACATGTCTTCCAGATAGGCCAGTCTTGTGTACCTGTCCCGGGGGGTAATGGATTCTCGTTGGTTGGTGCGGTCTTTTATTTTCTTTTTTTGTCCGAACGAGTTGGAATTCTTCGTCATCAGCATCGGGGTCGGCAGGCGAATCCTTATTGTCCATGTCCCTCTGCTCAGTGGAATCAATCCTTCCCATAGGGTGGGGGGTTGAGAGGGTGGTAGTTGCCATTGCCCCATTCCCCTCCATGATGGGACAGCAAGGAGGTGGTTGTCTGCTTCCGAGGTGATTGATTCCCTACGGTCGGACGGTGGGAGGGTGCGAGCGCCAGGTCAAACATACACTCACCAGGGCTCCCCAACAGTCTTTCGTTACAGCAGCCTGTTACTCTGGTATTATACTCAGTATTCGTAATTTTTACTAAACTGTTTTTTTCTACATGCCTTGACCATAATATCTGACACAATTTGGTGAATGTACACTCACACACACACGAGGTTTAAGGACGGATCAATAGTAAATGAAATAAAGTAACATTTCCCGTCGACTTTATGGCCTAAAATCGCCAGACTCGACCATCGTGTGCTGCACGGTGTGTCTCCAGGACAAAATCCAGTGAATTCGCGATATTAAAGACATACTAAATACATCCTTGAAGATGATGTAAAATTTCAATTGAGGAAGTATCTTGGCAACAGTACTTGAAGCAAATACATGGTAACCACACACACACACACACACGCGCGCGCGCGCACTTACTCACACACACGCACACGCACGCACTCACACACGCACGCACTCACACACACACACGCATAATAGGACTCGTTTCAGCAGACGGAGAGAGATAAACATGGCAGACAGACCAAACCACACAGAGTCCAGTTTCATATAGGTCTTATACATATACATAAATTGTAAATAAAAAAGGTTCTGTAAAACTATGACGGTATCATGTTCGCCGAAGAGTTCGAAGGGTTTCAATGGATGACACAATACATTGTGTCATCCTTCCATGCGCACATTATTTTTCTTCAACATGGCTGTTTATAATTTAATGTGTAAGAGCATTCATCATCAGGTCCTAAAGCGCTAAGGGGTCATCCATAATTTTCAACATTTACAAAAGTGTACAAACCGTTCGCTGGGAGGGAGGGGGTCAGTGACCCACGTACGCTTTTCAAAAGATAAAAAATGTCGATTCTGTTGTTCTATTGAATTTCTCTCTTGACCTATAATAGATGCTCACACAGGCTCTGGGTATAGGTACAATGACTACTTAGATGTGAAAGACATGCTTGGCACTAGTTTGAGAGCTATCAAATCTGATCAAAAAAAGATGAAACTGCTTGAGGAATGGCGTTTCATAGTTAAACACATGGACAGGAGATGGGATCTGGTTTGTTTCAGAAAGGGTGCTTGTGGTGATAACGATTGCAAGTGTTTAGAAAGTGGAATACAGGCCACAGAGGTGATGAAGATTCCCATGAGTGATAAATGGTCTTTGCCTCCAATCACAGAGGATAAGGACAATCCAGGGCATTATAAAACATTCCGGCAGCAGGCTAAATCTCTTGTGTTCAGTGCACCAGATGAGCACATGAAACAGGGCAAAACAGACAACTGCAGGAAATGCAAATATATTTTCACAAGTGTAGCAGATCGTGACATACATATCAAGCTTTTCCATGATGGTCTCCGTGCCTTTGAGGTTGCATCTAGCTCTGGTACAAAGAAGGTGCATAAGTGTGGGGTCTGTAGCTATGAGTTCCCAACGAGGTATCAACTTCTTCAGCATCAGGCTGATGAAGGGCACAAATTGAAAAGGGGCGGGCCATCTGCACAGAAGCAGTAGATTACCATGATTACCCTAGTACTTCAGCTTGGTGCTGAAGTGGTTGATACACTCTGGGCTTTGAAGAATCCAAATTTGAAACAGGTACCATCCTCTACTCTGTCATCAACATGTTCAATAAAACCAGGTACAATATACAATGTATGGTGTCATGTCATTGTTTTTCGAAGCCCATCTTCATCATCCTGAAGGATCAACATTTTCAATGTACACTCTGAGGGGGGGGGGGGGGGTCCTAGAAAAGAGTACTCTTTGTACACTTTTGTAAATGTTGGTAATTATGGATGACCCCTAAATGTGTACCTGTTATAATGTGTGTTTAATGTTGGTAACCAGTCTATCTGTTGATATGTGTAACTGATGGTTCATTAACAGTACATATCCTGCGCAGTTCCCACAATGCTAGTTCCAACGTGTTTCATCTGCTGCGTTGTAGATTGCTTCTAGGAGACCCTGTGTTCAAGAAAGGAAACTGATTTTTGTTTGTTTGTTTTTAGAGTTGACCCATTCTTCTAGCGGTCTGCCTGATTTGTTTTTTGTTGTTGCTATGCTAGAACTAGAAGCTCGTTAGCAGATTATACATTAAAATGATATGATGTGCAAATGCGTGTTGATAAGGGATACAGGTGCAACTGGTTGGACAATTTCATTTGATTATAGGAATTTATTAACACAAATGCACCCAGTAAAAATGATTTTCAAACTTTGGGAACTGTATCTCTCTCGTAAGTGGCGGGTCAGTTTCATTAACCTTTGGACTTTTCCACAGTAATATGTAGTTTTGTTTCATATTCCTTTGTGATATCAGTGTAGCACCTTTAATAAAACTATCAAGTGGCAACAACTGCTCCAGTAGTTGTAAGTGTAAAAGTAACGTCATCCTTAAACAGTTTTTTTTTTCTCTTCCTTTCGACAGAGTAAAGTCCATGCCTCATTTAATACAAGGTTTATTTTTGCTGTATACAGAGGGGTAACCATGTTAAGTACCTTCCTCTTGCCTTTTAGTTTTGTCTGCATGTTTTTTGGCATATCTCTCTCAAATATTAATATGTATCATGGAATCATTACTCTATTTCCATGTCTGATTAGGCATGGAATCAGTCCCAAAACTAAATATTGGTTCGACTCCAATACGTTGAGTGGAGATGGTTGCTGTGGAATTTATAAGCATCCCCTATACAAGGCATTTGTCACACACGAAAATGAGCAGGATAATGTGTGTAAATTAATGGAATATGTAAGGAACCAATATATCAGTTTAATGGTGATACACCCTTTCAAGAATCGTAAATTGCCTTTACTTTTGTGCTCATTTGATGCCAGTTTCACATCTACCAATATTTAAAGTAAATTCTGTAATAGTGTCTGTTCTTGTAAAACATCCTTAATTTGACTTTTCCTTCAAATTTAACCTTATAATATATCACTGTTCAGGTAGATGTATATGGAAGATATTCTGGAGTTCAAAGTATAATATTTTCACATTTTTATGTGCATGTTGTTTGCCTTCTTGTGGTTTAATAATTGAAAATGCCTCTACAGTTAATGTAATTTTATTTTAGATTTTACTCTAACAATCTGAAAAAAATATCCACTGTGCATGTTTGTATCCTGGTCACTGGTAGTTGTTAGGAACTGACAAGACCTTTTGCTATCACGAAGAAAGATACCTTAATATTCCATCAGAGTTCATCAAACAGATATAAAAGCAATTTTTTTTCAAGATCTTCCATAATTCAAGGTTTTATTTCAACCAAATATATGAATATAATTTTAAAAGTAGGAAATAGTTTCAACCTCAGAGTATTGCCAAAATATAGAATGCAGTATATAACATGTTAAAGGTTAAAATATGTTAAGTTCAAGTTCTGGAGTACTTGGAGGTCTACTTCACATTCAAGCCAACTCTAAGCATGGCATAATGGGAAGACTTCAAGGTCATTTGAGAAGGATTTAAAAGCACAGAATTAAGGATATATATTCTGTTTTGAGAACAAAATAAAACCAAATGCAGCCAATTGTAAAAAAAAAAAAGGAAAAAAAAAAATCTTAGATAAGAATCCTCAGATTTTTTAGGTGTTTTTAAAAGCAGGACTTGCATACACACTTTTATTATATGTTACATGTTAGACGGTAAGACACAAGGGCCTTCTGACCCTAGGCACTGTTTCTTTTGCGACGGATTTACTGGAGTGGGCTCGCAAGAACAAGGTGGTGGGCAGTGCACAGAGAGAGGGAGAATATAAGTATACATGTAAGTATACATATTTTTCATGTCTTAAAAAGAAGAGAAATCAATCACTAAAACTTTCCCCTACAAATTCTAAAAGCAGTAAGTATTATTGATTACATGACATTTAAGAAGCTCTATCATGTTAATGAACAATAAATAACCTATAAATCTTCTATTTCATAAAAATTCCCCCTCCCTCTTATTTACCCTCTTTGTACTAAGCTACATTACAATAGCATACATTACAACTGTACATCATGATATGTTTTATGTGACTAATATAAGAAAATTTTCAGCACCAAAATGTTAATTCAGTAACCAAAATGTAAGCATGTCAGCTGTTATTCATTTACATCTATGGGATAAGTTGTGAAACATTCTAGGCTGAATGGTTTAAACTTTTAAAGAACATTCCAATTTAACATTTTATTATTTGGTTTATCTGTTATTAAAAGGATTACTTATTTCTAAATATAGGATTCAATATATTAATTATAATCAATAAGCATTATCTTTCATTTGTATTTTCCCCATAATAACTATCTAGTTTGATTTAAAGCAATGGGAGAAATACAATAACCTTAGAAAATTATAAATTGAAACTGGATAATATTATGTGATAAGGCTGGAGTCCATTTCCACCGTACATCCAAGAGTGGATGCCTGTGGATGGACATTTAAAGGCACCTGTAGTTCAGGACTTAAAATTCTTACCTAACTTGCACGCAGACATAAAAGCACATGGGTGAAAGCGACATGAAGCCTGACAATGAACTCAAATTACTGCACCTGTATACATGCTGATATATAATATTCAGTAAATTTAATGTCTGTCTACACAAAATAGATTTCTTCAGAGACAATAATATAAGCAATGCAATCCTAACCAGGCTGGGAAGATCTACTCTATAACACCTAACACAGTAAATGCATTTGGTATCTTGTTTCAGCTCTCCTCTACATGATAGCTTCTGTTTGAGCTGGTCATGTGCATGGTGCGCTCAATACGCTGAGTTGAGCTTGACAGAATCTGCTGGGCACTCTGAGTGGAAGTTCTGCTGGATCTGTTCAAGGAGGTGTTGGCAGAGGAGCTAGCTGAACCAGTTCCTTTGTTCTGGAATGCTCTAAGGGCTTCCTTGAATGTAGGTCCATCATCAAACTCTGCACCACCATCGCTGGCTCCAGACAGATTGAATGAATTATCAGCTGATCCTCCGTTTGACTGGAAATGTGACTGGTTGAAAGATTGGGATGTTTGGTGTGAAGTAAGATGGCTGCGGATGGGGCTCGGGTTGAATGATGTAGTGTGGGAGAGGTTTGGTGACCTTGTCTGGGGGGGATCCGGATACTTGCATGTAACCTTTACAGCACGAGTGGTAGTGATGACACCAGAATTTTCATGGGAGGAATCGTAACTGCAAAGAAAGATAACTAAATAAAAATTTATGAAAATATAATTCACGCCTCATATATTCCCACTAAATACAAAATTTAAGCAACAATGATAATTTGGCTCCTGTTTTACCTATAAATCATTTCACAAAACTTTTCTATGACCATTTAAAAAATGTGTAGTTCTACTCGACCATATAAACAATATAAAAAATTTATCTTGAATTCTTATACAAAAAGAGTTTTGAAAGTACTATCTGAGGTTCAAGAAGAATGTCATTATAATTAACTTAAATTTAAAATATTGATGCGCTAGTTATGCATATATCCATCTATCAATATGCATGCATTTCGTACAAAGGATATTTCAGTTCATACAAAGGACTTACCCAGAGAGATATCCATCAGTATCTGAAAGTCCTGATTCATTGCCATCCTTTCCATACTTCTGACGACGGATAGCTAATAACTTGGCTCTTGCCTCTGCAAGTTCTCTCTCTACTTTCAGGACCTGTTCTCGGGCATCAATCTCCTGGGCCATACCACCAACAAGACGATTTTTAACAACTACTGTGAACTCTTCTTCATGTTCGATGGCCTGCTGGGCAGCCTTTACCAAGTTGTCTGTGGCTCGCTTAACTGCATTTCCTGCAGCCTGCAAGCGCTTGGTAGCATTTGAGTCTGGATCAGCTTTTACTTTACATGCTACAAGCAACTGAGCAGTTGAGCCAGCCACTTGCTTTGCAGCTGAGATCAGCTTCTCTTCACTAGCTTGTCCTTGGACTAGTGCATTAGCGGCTTCACACAGAGAATGCGTGGCTGCGGCTACAAGACGAGCAGCAGAAACCAGGCCCTCAGACCATTGCCCATCATCAGAGGTGACTGTGGGACGACGCCTAACTCTTCCTGAATCAACAAGCTCACGTTGTGCTGAAGAAGCAGCCTTCACGAGAGCTCCTGTGGCTGCTGCAATTGATTTACAGGCCTCCAAGATGATTTCATCAAAGTTCATAGATTCATCAATTTCCTGAAATGAATAATATATTAAGCATTAGATGAAGTATACTGATATTGGGACTTTTATAGTTAATTTTCAAAAAGATATCTGATCATCATATAATAAGAAAGCAGTCCATGAGTACCTACAACCAGTATAATATCTATGAATATTACAAAATACATGTAGATATAACATGAAAAGTAAAGGATAATGAAATTGACCCAAATATTCTCAAATCTAAAGGCAAAACAAAACTCACTGACATCTGTGTATGGTAACCTATCATTTCCCTCATAGTCTAATTACTTGTATTAACCCCTTCCCGACGGGTGACGCCGATAGGCGTGAAAACAAACCACTTGAAAGCTGGCATGTGGCTGTACGCCATGGCAGCGCGCCAAAGCGCCGTCACCATTGGGTTAGGTTGACATTTCCTTGTAGTTCTACCCTGGGTAGTATTTATCACAGTTGCGTGGGTTCTTCTGGACGATACTTCACTGAGCTGTGATAATATGTTTGATTCCTTAGTCGAGGCCAGATCACAACCAAGAATATCAAACATATCTCAAAGCAAACAATGACTTGCTTGCTGAACTGGCTTGGATTCTTGGTGGAAACTTCAAGAGAACATCGTACAAGTCTTCAGCCTCGTGGCAGCTAGTCTTGTTCCCAAGGCTTTCCAAAATTACACAAAAACAACTCCCTCCAAATTGGTTTCAAATACACCTTCAGACACCCTTAATTGTGTTTAACAAATCTGTATAGATATACGTGTAAGTTACTTTTTCTGTTTTACAATATATTTATCTAATGTAAATCACAAGTTTATATTATGGTAATAAGGGTCCTTTTACTTAATTTTCAGTAGAAAAAATCTCATTGTTTTTACAAGCAACTGAGCAGTTGAGCCAGCCACTTGCTTTGCAGCTGAGATCAGCTTCTCTTCACTAGCTTGTCCTTGGACTAGTGCATTAGCGGCTTCACACAGAGAATGCGTGGCTGCGGCTACAAGACGAGCAGCAGAAACCAGGCCCTCAGACCATTGCCCATCATCAGAGGTGACTGTGGGACGACGCCTAACTCTTCCTGAATCAACAAGCTCACGTTGTGCTGAAGAAGCAGCCTTCACGAGAGCTCCTGTGGCTGCTGCAATTGATTTACAGGCCTCCAAGATGATTTCATCAAAGTTCATAGATTCATCAATTTCCTGAAATGAATAATATATTAAGCATTAGATGAAGTATACTGATATTGGGACTTTTATAGTTAATTTTCAAAAAGATATCTGATCATCATATAATAAGAAAGCAGTCCATGAGTACCTACAACCAGTATAATATCTATGAATATTACAAAATACATGTAGATATAACATGAAAAGTAAAGGATAATGAAATTGACCCAAATATTCTCAAATCTAAAGGCAAAACAAAACTCACTGACATCTGTGTATGGTAACCTATCATTTCCCTCATAGTCTAATTACTTGTATTAACCCCTTCCCGACGGGTGACGCCGATAGGCGTGAAAACAAACCGCTCGAAAGCTGGCATGTGGCTGTACGCCATGGCAGCGCGCCAAAGCGCCGTCACACTTGGGTTAGGTTGACATTTCCTTGTAGTTCTACCCTGGGTAGTATTTATCACAGTTGCGTTGGTTCTTCTGGATGATACTTCACTGAGCTGTGATAATATGTTTGATTCTTAGTCGAGGCCAATCAACAACCAAGAATATCAAACATATCTCAAAGCAACAATGACTTGCTTGCTGCACTGGCTGCATTCTTGGTGGACACTTCAAGAGAACATCGTACAAGTCTTCAGCCTCTTGGCAGCTGTCTTGTTCCCAAAGGCTTTCCAAAATTTACACAAAAACAACTCCCCTCCAAATTTGGTTTTCAAATACACCTTCATACACCTTAATTGTGTTAAAAATCTGTATACGCATTATATACGTGTTAAGGTTAACATTTTTCTGTTCTATAAACAATATATTTATCCTAAATGTAAAACTCACAAGTTCTATACTTATGAGTAATAAAGGAGTCCTTTTACTTTACATTTATCAGTAGAAAAAATATCTCATTTTAATAATCCTTCAGCTAAATCTTACATCTTGCTGCTTTACCATGCTACCATCAACTTACTACACAATATAGAACACTGGAATTAATTTTTTTCACAAATGTATATATACAATCAATCACTGCTTACAACAGCATCTTTACAACATATAATAGGTATGCCTATAATACAAAATACTCCATCAGTGCTCATGAGAGAAATATCCACCTCTTACCATTAAAAAATAAATAAATAAATAAATACATATATAAGAAAAAAAGTTACTAAATAAACAAGAGCAACCTTAGTTCATACTGTACCTTTGTCTCAGTGCGGCGAGGCCTTAGAGCCATCAGCTTCCGAGCAGCAGCATCAATGGAATTGGCTGCACCAATGAGTTCATTCTCAGCAATTACAGTCGGATCATCAGGATCTTCCCAATCATGACCTGAGAGCATAGGAAGAGCCATTAGTTTTTCAGCAACAACTTTGCAGTAAAGACTTGTTAATGAAAACAGGGAAAATAATGAAGTTTTTCTGAAGCTCATTGTGATTTTTTCTAGGGATTTTTTTTTAGTTTACATTATGAAACGAGACAAGATTCCAGTAACCATAAACTTTTCCTATTTTTCAATCCTAGTTTAACATTTATGGGCTTGAGCATAATCTCTTCAGTTCGTCTGTTGTCCCTTTTGAAAATTAACTGTTTAATAAAACAGAAGATATATATATATATATTTTTTTTTTGGGGGGGGGGAGGGAATACTTTGTCATGGATAACTTTTCTTTATCTAGAAGAATAATTATACTAATATATTTTTTTAAAAAAGGTAATCCTGTAAGAAGATTGGACCTAAACTTTATCAACTAATAATATCCTTAACTATATCTGTTTTAATTTCCTTAAATAACAAGAGATTAAGAAAGAACATTAGCTTTATTCTATCTACTTAAGCAGGAGCACCAGGCTTCTACCCTAAGTGGCCATAAGATATAGAATATTTGTCATTTAACTTTGAAAATTCTACCAACATTATCATGAAGAAGTCAATATTCAAATAACTCAGCAGTTGGATTCTTGCCATGCTATTTCTATAAGAGAATCCCTTATAAAAATATATATTTACAACATGAGCTACTCTGCATACTGAATATATGTACCCTTAAGAAATGAGGATGCATAATGAATAACAATATTTACACAGAAGATTCACCTGTACTTTATCCTCCATGCCGTTCTGATTATCTCATGAAAAGAAAGCATCAAAATTGAACCAGAACATAATAATATTAAATTCTAGTACACACACAAATGGTTCAACAGTGATACTTGACAACAAAGCCACTACACAGCCTTCAACCCACTACCAAGCTCAGAGATACATCTGGACACGAAGATGCTCATCACCAGACTAAAAGAATGGGAAAGATAGCGTTTTGTGAAATGAATTTTTCAGGCAATCAATATCCATGGCATAACCATTCCAGAGAGAACTGACAAATGCAAAGCATCTTGGATGATACAGAAACTGTGATATGCAAAACTTCCTCACACTGAGGCACTATCATATCACAAGATCTTGGTTAACGAAACTGCTACAACGAGACCGGAGACAAGGATAGTACATGCATAATGCTAGTCTACAACTGGGAAAATATCATGGCTACTTGTGTGCTTCACTCACCACTGGGCGGACTCACGCCGACCTCGTGCCATTTGAAGTGGGCTGTAGGGGGGACATGGTAAGGGTGTGCACTTGGAAGGGTATGTGGGGTGCAATATCCTGTATTATGCTTCTATTACCTGCTTTCATTGATGGGAAGCCATCTTACCGTGCCAGTATTAACTTTTCTTTACTTTTTACAAGAGATGACATTTAGGCATTCATAGTGCAGGATATGTGCATCCTTCATATTTCACTTCCTTCTGAAAATTGCTTACATACTC